GTTTTTTTATCGCTGAAAAAAAAAGACCAACTATATTTTTGTCATAAATCCCTTAGGATTGGTTCTAGAGACTTTGAAAGATTTTTTTAAGTACTACAAAAATGATTTCATGACTTTTTCACTAAAAATCATTGATTTCTTCATATTTCACGATTAAACTTTTAATTAATTGCTATTTAACTGGGAATAAGCCACAATTAAAGATAAAAATACGTTTATTGACGTTTCAATTTCCACTACAGCATACACAAGGAATAATACGAGGAAAATAACAATACCGTACATAAAAGGATTATCAGAAAAACTTAAAAGGATAGGAAATCAATTCAACATTTTAACAACATTCAAAACAACAAACACATTGAAATCTATTTTGTCCAAAACCAAACCTAACGATGAACAAGAAAGGACAAAGAATTGAATTTATAAAATACCTTGTGAATGCGATCAGTTTTATTTAGGTGAAACATCAACGCCATTAAATGTTAGAATAAGTGAACATCAATCTTATATTAAAAATAGAGAATTTGATAGATCTCAAATATGTAAACACGCATGGGATAATGAACATAGGGTTCAATGGAATAATTCAAATGTAGTCCTAAAAGAGACGGATGGAAAAAAAAGAAAAATCAAAGAAGCGGCTTTAATTATGCTAAATGAGGCCAATTGTGTCGCAAATTCCTCGGCAGAATGTAGTAGGATCTGGTTACCAATATTGAAAGAGGAAGTTATTAATAAGAAAATACCAGTATTAGTAAGTCAGTAACATATAGAGGATACATCATTTATGTTTTTTAAATAACGAAACATAAAATCAGAATTTTGGTGTTTATTGAAGGTAAACTAATTGCACGAACAAATACTTACCATGTCGGGATAGTATTATGAGGTTTTTTTCCTGGTTTTTCCCTCATAATTTACTATGGAATCACTAACAGGAGAATTTTACTGTCATCATGTCATGTGTTTGTCTTTTTAAAGACGAATTATATGCTATGATTTTTTTCTGACGGATATTCTCAAGTTAAAGTTGATTTCATGTAATCGAATGAACTATCTTATAAGTAAAGTCGTCCCAGGAGCGCAACTCAACAATATTGGCAATATCATTTTAAAGTCGTCTACTTTAAAATGCATAATGTATGTCTGAATTGTCAATATAAATGAGTCAGATAAAATTAAATTATTAGAAGAATTTTTCACTATGTAACAAAAAACAAAATTTGTTTAATTTACTGTTTGTATTTTGAGAACGATTTCCGAAGTGGAAATTGAAACGTCAATAAACGTATTTTTATCTTTAATTGTGGCTTATTCCCAGTTAAATAGCAATTAATTTAAAATGCCACAAGAAAATAGCTTCAGAACAATATAAACTTTCAATTTTGGCGTTTGATGAAGAAGAATTATCTTTTAAGCTATTTATTCCCCTGTAATCTCAGAATTTTGAATTATCCAGTAATCTGATATTTTTACTTAATAGATTCCTGTACAGCAAGAATACCTATATGTTTTCTGCTGTTTTCATAAGATTTCGACGTTGTTTTTTATTTATTAACAATTAAGTACAAAACTGCAGTTTTTTCCCCAGGTTTTAGCCCCATATTTCAAAATCGGTCTTAGTAAGGTCTTATATATATTGAGCTTTAGTGCACGTTTATCTTTTTATTATTTAAATGTTTCTGGACACCCTGAACAGTTCTGTTTTCTATTGCTATTGCGTCTTTTTATTTCGTCGCTTGTCGTGTTTGTTGCGTTTAGTAGCGATCCAAGATATGTGAATTTTTTGACTTGCTCAAAGGTATGGTTGTTAATTTGAATTTTTTGTTGGATATTTCGAGGGTTTTTAGAAACCAATATATATTTGTTTTTTTCATCGTTTACAAGTCCTAATTCACTTGCTGAGTCCGCAAGCCTTGGGAAAAACTGCGCCACGTCTCTCATACTTCTGCCCTATAACTATATCGTCAGCGAATGCGAGAATTAGCGTCGATCTATTAAAAATAATTCCTTTTGTTCTAATATTTAATTGTCTGATTGACTTTTCCAAGGCAATATTAAAGAGGAGACACGCCAGCGCATCCCCCTATCTGAAACCATTATTAATGTCAAAGAACGTAGAGTTTTCTACTTCAATTCTAACCAATGAGCTTACGTTTTGCATTGTTAGTTGGGTCAACCTAACTAACTTTGGATGGGATCCCAAAGTATATCATTGCATTATATAATGCAGTTCTTTTCACTCTGTCATAGGCTGCTTTGAAGTCGAGGAAGAGATGGTGTGTATCTATGCTATATTCTGGTGACTTTTCTGAAATATCCTTTGTAAAATGTTCAAGTCTTTCAAACAATACATTGCTGATGATTTTATAAGCAGGTCCTAACAGAGTGATGTCTCTATAGTTCTTACATTCCAGTTGATCACCCTTTTTTATGTAATGGACATATTATTCCCTTTAGCGACTCTTCTGGTAGCAATTCATTCTGTCATATAAGCACTATTTGTTTATGGATTGCTGCAAAAAGTTGATCACCACCTTTTTTTTTATATATTTCCGAACAAATTTCATCGTCTTAGGATGGTATTTGGCAATAATCATTCAAAACATTGCAAAATATAAAAATGACGTATTATCATTATCATCATCTGTCAATTTCTTGCATCCACTATTGGACATAGGTCTCCTCCATCCCCTTCCACTTCCAATATTCTTTACATTGTGCTTTCTGCATTCAATTCAAAAAACTGTTTTTTTATGTCGTCCATCTATATTGTTGGCGGTCTACCTTGGTGACTTCGTATATTGTATACGTCTCCATTGTCCTTTTAGTCCACCTATTATCATTTAAACCTACTAGATGACCAGTCCATATCCATTAGCCTTGTTCAATCTTTTCTATAACATTTGTTGCTTTATTCCTCTCTCTTATTATTTGGTTTGGTAACCATAACCCTTCTTAGCAGCATTATAGCTTATGGGTTACTCTTTAATTTACTCCCAGATTTTTTTAGTCAATGTTAAGGTTTCGGAATCTCAAGAAAATATCAAGAAATTGGATGAAAAGTGCTCAAAATAGAGCACACTGGACAAAAATGAGAGAGGCCTATGTCCAGCAGTGGACGCAAAGGGTTGGGATGATGATGATGAAGGTTTCGGAATCAAACATTATTACCGACATTATACATTGGTTGTAAACTTGTTTCTTTAAACAAATCGGTAGCGTTGTTTTAGAATATGTCGCATCTTACAAAATGCTGCCCATCCCAAACCTATACTGCTCTGGATCTCACAGCTTGTTACGTATTCTCATAACATCACTTGGAGCTAAATTGGCCATGTAACTTGATTTTTTAAAGTTTATGTTCAGGCCTACATGTTCTGTTGCTTGTTTTAGTTCTTGAATCATTTTGTAAGCTTCACTTTTAAACTTTCTACTGTAATACCAATATCATCTGCAAAACGCAAGTATTCATCAACAATCATTCCCTTTTTAGCCCAATCTATTTAATTCAGCTTTTATTCCATAGCTGCCCTGAATAGTTGAATGGAGATGGAACGGCCTGTCTAATTCCTCGCTTAATCTTATCATTAATATTTATCCGTCAAGTCATTGAGTTTAACAATTGTTATTGCGTTGTTGTATTATGTTCTATCAACTCAACGTATCTACAGTCTACTAATGCTTTCAATACTGCCGACAATTTCACGGTATCAAAAGCTTTCTTTAAGTCGACGAATATCAATGTAAGTGGTTGATTATACTCAACACACTTTCAAATTATTGTTTTTAGTGCTTGTAGATGGTCATTTGTTTCATAGCCTTTCCATTTGGTTTCAAGAATTCATTGGTGTAACAAGCAAATAAATTTTTGTCAATTAAGGCCCGTACTCCTCACGATCACAGCAAATACCTTTGATACCAGCCCTCATCATAAGGAATTTGACTGCACCGAAGGTCAACACGTTATTCATTCTCTCCTCTTGTTAAAATATTTATCTAATTTATTGTGGGTACTTTTCCTTCTATTCTTAGCTTATCTTTTATTGAAACAGTGCATATTTAATTTTTTTTATTAATAAATATTTAATGTTACTTAATATTTTTTGTGCAGTCTCTAGCTTAAACATGTTTAAACCAAGATGGATTAATTAGACCGTACTTTTTTTGTTTTTATTGCGTATTTAAATTTAATTGCATGTTTTCTTATTTCTTAACACAATTAATCCATTGAAAAGAGGATTTAGCTAGTAGAGAGTTAGTTAAAGAGTTTAGTCAGAGAGTTTCCAAATTTTTTATGATAGATACCAACGGTTATTGGTGGGAGTGTGGGCACACAAAGAGATTTGTTACCAAACGGTGACGGCGATTGGCGGCGTTATTGTTACAAGTATCCATTCTTTAGGCGAGAAAGAAGGACGAAGAACAAATGGAATCACAGCTGTCCTCAACACTGAACTACTGTATTTAATGTAATAAAGATTAACTTATTTTGTTTGTAGTCCTACAAATCACCCTGAGTGGTTGATCGGGTCCAAATGTGTTATTCGACAGTCTTCACAAAATAATATTTAAAGTAGTATTTGTGAACATTTCTTAGAATATAAAAAATATATTTTTTTTATTTTACCCTACTTTTTACTTCAAATACTAACAATAGGATTTTATGCTTGAAATGCTTGCACAATAAAAGGCAAAATGGATGTATTAAGTAAAAAGTACTTTTAATCGTTTTTGTGTTATCAAACTTTCTTTTTAGTATGTATTATTGCAATAAATAATATAAGATCTTATCGCTAATATATGTCAGCAATGTGCCTACCTCAATGCAAATAGTTAAATATTTCAGATAAAATAATAAAAACCCTATATATTATATTGTAAATAATGCAGTTCCCCCATTGTTTGCTAGTTTTGTGTTGTTTGCTATGTTCCAACAGGTGCAAAAATCCACACAATCGTTATATTAAACTCATTAATTTATTTTTGTTTTGTAGAGGACTCCCACCGTCAGACCTGCCCAACCATTCAACCCTAATGATGATGCTCAAGTTCTTAGAACAGCGATGAAAGGTTTCGGAACCGACGAGAAGGCCATTATCAATTGCTTGGCAAGAAGATCCAATGAACAGAGACTACATATTGCTGCTGCGTTTAAAACTATGTACGGAAAGGTAAAGTATGCTGATTTTTTGTAGTTTTCGCAAACAGTGTTTAAATTATGTGTGTGTGTGGAAGAGAGAGAGAGAGAGAGAAAGAGAGAGAGAGAGAGAGAGAGAGAGAGAGAGAGAGAGAGAGAGAGAGAGAATGCATTCACTATATGTTTTTTAATGTAGTTTAACGAAATTCTAATTCCTTTAGTATCCCAAGTTTTTTATTTTCGATTTAAGAATTCTTTTTTGAAATGCCAAATTGAAAATCTTCATCAGTGTGATAAAATTTGATAAACTTGTCAAAATTTCATTTGCTGAAAATCCTACTTCATCTGGCTGTGTAAGGTGGATTCTTAAAGGGAATTTACATAGAACGGGATCATGATTGTATGGAGTTGAAACTTGGACACTTAAAAAATCCAACATTAAAAACCTAGAAGCATTCGAAATGTGGTGTTACCGACGCATTTTGAAAATATCATGGATGGATCGCAAAACAAACGAACAAGTTCTCGAACAACTAGGAAAACAATGCGAAGTTTTAAATTCCATAAAAATCAGGAAATTGGAATACTTGGGGCACACCATGAGAGGTGAAAAGTACGAACTACTAAGGAATATAATGCAGGGTACAATCAAAGATAGAAGAAGCGTAGGAAGACGTAAAATCTCGTGGCTACGCACTCTCCGTGAATGGTTTGGATACAGTTCAATTGAATTATTCAGGCGAGTAACCAATAAAATTATAATTGCCAGAATGATTTCCAATCTCCGATAGGAGTGGAACTTGAAGAAGAAGAAGAAGAAGGGATCATGATCCAATGAAAAATAAGGAATCACCTATAGGAATATAATCCAATATGCTGTTATCCCTGGTTTGTTTGGTAACCAGCATTCTCATGTTAAAAGTATTAAGTAAATTTATAATGGTAATAGCATGGCTGTGTGATGAATCCAGATAATCAATATTAAAGTCACCTGTCAAGATAATAAAAGCATTTTGTGGATTTTTTTCAAGCAATATTTCAATATAAAGTGTTTCTAGAGGATATAACCAAGGCTTTGTTAAAAGCACACGATTTGGCCAATCATTTTCGTTAAGGAACACTTCCAATTCCTCAACTTTATTGCTTACAGAACATATGTTGTGTAAAATAATAGAAAATTGATTACTGGTATTAGATGTAGATATACTGGTATCCAGTTTATCACCTACCTCACTTTATATTATTATTTTTTTTATATAAGTCGAAACGCAAATTATTCCTTTGGTCCAAGTAGATTGTTGGTAGATTTGCTCTTCATATTTTTCGCTAATCCCAAACATAAGACACTTATTACGATTTTCCTCAATCGTTGCATTAGAAAATTTAAGTCATGTCCTTTATACAAAGCGAAATTAATTATTAGGTCCATTTTATTCCTTTGATATTCACGTTCCACCTGTAGATTAGGTGTCTTTGTTGATAATTTTTTTTTGTATACAAAATTGTCGAAATCGAATGAATTGGATGTTTATATTTATTTTCGATGTTTTGATTTTTTGTGTCATTAAGTTTAATTATTATTTTATTTTTATCTTTAATATGTATGTTCAATAATTCGAATTTTTCTTGCAAATAGTTATTAAGTTTTAAAAGTTCATTGTTAATATGAATTTCTAGGTTAAATACTGTCGATAATTTGTTTTATAATCAAATAATTAGCAGACTAAGATGGATTGTCCATTATCATTATCAATGCAGGTTTTACAAAAGTCGGCACTGAACAAAACCACTTTCCAAAAATACCCGGGTTCATATCCTCATAATAGTCGCCTTTTGTAATCAGGGTAAATACATTTAAATCCTTAAAAAAATCCTGAACCACTTCCTGTGTATATAATTATATTTATTTATAGATTGTATAAATATATACATATTTATATTAGATTTAAAATTTAATATAAAGAGAATTAATAGGTATAACCCAACATTTTTTTTTAATAAAGTTTGCGAAAAATATGTAAGAAGACCAACATCGCTCATACAGGGATTAAAATGAGTGGCAGCTTATCACCCGCCTTTCCAAGGGTGGAAATAAAGGAATGGTAAAGGGAAACACTACACATAGTAACTATGATAATGTTATTGTTCTGAAGCTATTTTCTTGTGGCATTGTAAATTAATTACTATTTATAACTGGGAATAAGCCACATTAAAGATAAAAATACATTTATTGACGTTTCAATTTCCAATTCGGAAATCGTTCTCAAAATACAAATAGTAAATTAAACAAATTTTGTTTTTTGTTACATAGTGAAAAAATTCTTCTGATAATTTAATTTTATCTGACTCATTTATATTGACAATTCAGACATACATTATGCATTTTAAAGTAGACGACTTTAAAATGATATTGCCAATATTGTTGAGTTGCGCTCCTGGGACGACTTTACTTATAAGATAGTTCATTCGATTACATGAAATCAACTTTAACTTGAGAATATCCGTCAGAAAAAATCATAGCATGTAATTCGTCTTTAAAAAGACAAACACATGACATGATGACAGTAAAATTCTCCTGTTAGTGATTCCATAGTAAATTATGAGGGAAAACCAGGAAAAAAACCTCATAATACTATCCCGACATTGTAAGTATTTGTTCGTGAATTTAGTTTACCTTCAACAAACATTAAAATTCTGATTTTATGTTACGGTATTTAAAAAACATAAATGATGTATCCTCTATATGTTACTGACTTACTAATACTGGTATTTTCTTATTAATAACTTCCTCTTTCAATATTGGTAACCAGATCCTACTACATTCTGCCGAGGAATTTGCGACACAATTGGCCTCATTTAACATAATAAGAGCCGCTTCTTTGATTTTTCTTTTTTTACCATCCGTTTCTTTTAGGACTATATTTATCAATATATCCTAAATATATTTATAAATATATACAAAAGTATATATTTATCAAATATAGTCCTAAAAGAAACGGATGGTAAAAAAAGAAAAATCAAAGAAGCGGCTCTTATTATGTTAAATGAGGCCAATTGTGTCGCAAATTCCTCGGCAGAATGTAGTAGGATCTGGTTACCAATATTGAAAGAGGAAGTTATTAATAAGAAAATACCAGTATTAGTAAGTCAGTAACATATAGAGGATACATCATTTATGTTTTTTAAATAACGTAACATAAAATCAGAATTTTGATGTTTGTTGAAGGTAAACTAAATTCACGAACAAATACTTACAATGTCGGGATAGTATTATGAGGTTTTTTTCCTGGTTTTTCCCTCATAATTTACTATGGAATCACTAACAGGAGAATTTTACTGTCATCATGTCATGTGTTTGTCTTTTTAAAGACGAATTACATGCTATGATTTTTTCTGACGGATATTCTCAAGTTAAAGTTGATTTCATGTAATCGAATGAACTATCTTATAAGTAAAGTCGTCCCAGGAGCGCAACTCAACAATATTGGCAATATCATTTTAAAGTCGTCTACTTTAAAATGCATAATGTATGTCTGAATTGTCAATATAAATGAGTCAGATAAAATTAAATTATCAGAAGAATTTTTTCACTATGTAACAAAAAACAAAATTTGTTTAATTTACTATTTGTATTTTGAGAACGATTTCCGAATTGGAAATTGAAACGTCAATAAATGTATTTTTATCTTTAATGTGGCTTATTCCCAGTTATAAATAGTAATTATGATAATGTTATAATTGAAAAATAATTTTGACTACCTACAAAAAGAATTACAAAGTTTTCTTAGCGAATTTCTGAGTTTCAGACACTCGCCCCTCTTTTACATCTTCTAGAAGAACAGGATAATTATTAGGAACACTCCTTACAACCATTTTTGAAATGACTTTTAAATTTATGATTCATACAATCGTTTTCATTGTTAAGGAAAAACCTTTACAAAGTTTTTCATGGAATTTTCCGGATATTAGCTACTCACTACTCCAGGGGTGGATGTGGAGGAGTGATAAATGGATACAGTACAAATAGTAGCAATTGTAATAGTTTTATGGTTGAAAAAATCAGATTTCGCAAATCATTCAGTAAAATCTTAGTTTTCCAAAGTTTTTGTGTGAGTTTCCTGTTTTTAGCCACGTACCCCCAATTTTCAGATCAGGACTGGAGGAAGGATAAGAGGAAACCCTCTACACGGTGATTTTTCATATAGTTATGGCTGATATAATCGTTTTCACGATCCCTTTACAAAGTTGTTCATCGAATTATCGAGTTTTTAGTGACTCATCCCTTATTTTGACCCATAATATTGGGATTTATGGTATCCTAATAAATATATTTGTAATCTAGATTTAATTTACTACAATTAAAAAAAAATTATAGCTATATCATGATTTATCTTTGAGATACAGCAAAAATAAAAGTAAAATCATCGATTTTTAAAAAAATGCTCAACTTCAACCCTTATTTCAACCCCTACAATGAGTGATACTGCCTTCTTACATATTTTCTTTAATTCGTATAACTTGAGGTTTATTTAAAAAAATGTTGGGATATCTCCATCGTTTCATAATTTTAAATAAAAAAAGCACTTTGACGTAGCGAGCTCCATAACATTATTATTTCATCTCGTTCAACAAACTTTTCTACTTTCTACTTTCTCTTTACATACAGAAAAATAATAATAGTTAAAACGTGAAATACATTAATAAAAATTGTTACGAGATGCGCATATTTTTTGTAATAACTTCTTGCTTTTGCAATTCTATAATACAGTTCTGGTGCTTAAGACTATACTAAGAGGCCTAACAATGTAGTGCTGTTCACAGCATATAGCATATTTAGGAGTAATAAATCCTACAGGATTTTTAAATACTTTTCTAAAGAGTAATTTTGTTTTTTTTTGTTTTTAACATCTTTTATAATAACATGATTTGCAGGATTTGATCAAGGACTTGAAAAGTGAACTCAGTGGAAACTTTGAAAACTGTATCGTCGCTATGATGACCCCACTTCCTGAATACTATGCCAAAGAATTGCACGATGCTATGAGCGGTGTTGGAACTGATGAAGACGTCCTTATTGAGGTTCTTTGTACCATGTCCAACAGAGAAATTATGGTCATTAGAGAAGCTTATCACAAATGTAAGTTCTTGCATGTTCTTATTTAATTTGAGCATTTTTTTGGCTTCTTACATAAAAAGGTTAATTAGGGTTATTATATAGTGGGGTAGAGACATTTTTTGTGTAAATAGGAAGAGAATTGTCAACATAGGAAACGAAATATGATTGAAAAAGTTATTTTAAATACTTCCTGGATGTACATACGAGGGCAAGATGAAAAGTTCACAAATTGGTATCGGAAAAAAAAATGGATGCAATTTTTTTATTTAGTCACCGAATTTAATTCATGCGATTTTGTCCTAACATTATTTTATAACTACTTTTCATTTTTCACATATTTTAACCAAACATTTCTTAAGATTTTGCCGAACCGTTTTAGCAGCGGAATGTTTCAGGTGAAAAAAGAGCATTTCATCATTTTTTTATCTAGCTCGTCAAAGAAATATGTAAAATTCACCCCGTTAATTGTTTCAACCTTCAGCTAATATAATCACTTGAAATATTTCGTTTTGAAATCCACAAGACTGTAATTTTAACCTTTTATACTGTGTAGTTTACACCTAGTCCTGTCATAAATATTGATACAAGATATTTAACTAAATAATTTAACTGTTTTGATTTGAAAAAGTCTTACACATTTTAGTACTTATGCATACAGCTCCTGCTTCACATTACAGTGACGTCTTGTACAGACTATGCCCTTTAAAACTGACCACAATTTGTAGTCGACGGGATGAAGTCCCGGGCTTGTTGGCGGACAATGCTCACTTAAATTCGGGTACATGATTTTCAAGCCACTGTTAAGTAGTTTTGGCCTTATGCACAAGTGCAGAGTCCTGTTGAAATATCTATGGTCTATTTTGAAATACAATGTGGTTTAGGGGATCCACTAAATTTGTTAAAATGTCTCATTGATAATATCTCGTCGCGAAGTGACGCCGCGATAGAACACTTCCCATCAAACCATCACTGAGGTAGTATAACGACCTCGTTTGATCCTTGGCATCAGTTCGCGGGCTTCCTTGGATAACCGTGCATAAACTATATCGTTTTGCTTATTAAAAGTTTCCCCCTTAGTAAAAATTCTTCCATCTGTAAAGGGGATTTCTTTGTAACCCTCTTTATCGTACAGTAACCACAGGCCTTGATTTTTTTTACTCTTTTGTTTTAATGCAACGGTAAGGTATTGTCCTGTTTGCAGTTTGGAAATCCCAAGCCTTTTTGGATGATGCGACTCATGGCTCTCGACGCAATATTCATTTCCCGAGCCATGATTTTTTGTGTGCGTACAGGCTTTCGGTTAATTCTTCAATCGAATCTACGATCAATAAAATTGATGTTTATTTCTTGATCTTCTGCTGTTTTTCATTTCTATAAACTGCTCTAAACAAAACACATTATCAGTACAAGACCTGCCAGCCCTGAATTCATTTTGCTCTTCCTCCCGGTAATTGCAGTATTCTTTTCCTATAAGGTCCTTTAATATCTTTCCATATAAACGACTAAGTGTACTAGTTACTGAGCATTTATTTTTCATGTAGTTTTGTTATTATATTTTAGATAAAAATTTCACTTGGGAATTATTTAGGATTTCGTGACTAACGATTGATCCTCCTCGTGCTAATTTTTAGTGTTTATTTATTGTGTTAGTGCTTTGCTTTTAGTGACCACTACTTTTTGTGTTCTTTACAGTATATTATAGATCGTTAGAAAGCGATCTCAAAGGCGACACCTCTGGTACATTCAAGCGCTTGATGGTCTCTCTCTGTAACGCCGCCAGAGACGAAAGCAACGCCACTGATCCACAAAGAGCTTTACAAGACGCCCAAGCTCTACTTCAAGCGGGAGAGCTTCGTTTAGGCACAGACGAATCGACCTTCAACATGGTGTTATGCCAAAGAAGCTACGCCCAGCTCCAGCTCGTTTTCCAAGAGTACCAGCGAATCACCGGCCACGATATCGAGAAAACGGTTAAAAATGAGTTCTCTGGAGACTCTGAAGATGCTCTGTTAGCCATTATTAGATCCATAAAGAACCAGGCGGCGTTCTTTGCTAAATATTTGAATAAAAGCATGAAAGGAATGGGAACCAACGACAGACAGTTGATCAGATTGGTGGTTACGAGATCTGAAATTGACATGGTTGAAATTAAGAGCGAATACCAGTCCAAATACGGTGAATCTTTAGCTGACGCTATTAAGGTAAGTTAATAAAGATAAGAATAAATAATGATTACTGGATAATTGATTATATATGTATACATTTGCTTTATTGGTAGTAGTGTATTCCTAACATTTGTCCTTTTTTCAGGGCGACTGCTCCGGATATTACAAGAAGTGTTTGCTTGCACTCATCGGTGAATACTAATCTGCACGTACAATTTTTTACTAAAGTTTTTTCATTATTATTGTTAATCTTTAAAAATTTTATGTATTTTTTATCTTAATCCAACAAATAGACTGTCATATTTTTTAGGTTACAATTTTTTAGGTGACGTAAATTTTAGTTGAAGCTATTGCGTTAATGTCTGTTGAAAATACATTTCTTGTTCACGTTTTTTTCACATTAAGTTTGTTATTCGTTATTGTATTTATATGAATGGAACATCGTCATTAGTCACTTTAATATCACTTAAAACATGTCATTTTTGAACGTTTAGAACTAAAATTTTAAATAATTTGTACAAAATATGAGATATTCGTGTATATGTAGTTAGTTCGTTCGTATACTATTAGTTTCTTTTAAAATCACTGATGTCCAAATGATACCCTACCTTTGGGTGATGTATTCAGCTAAAAGTCTGTTTGTTGGCGAAACTGTTGTGAGTACCAAAATGTCAGTTAAAAATGACTCTCTTATAGCCTTTCATCATGTTTTTTAAGAATGTTATATTTTGTTTTGAATGAGACTGAAGAAAACAATTCCTCTCTAACGTTTAATCACTAATTAGGACATAGTAATTAATAGAGCTTAACTTGATGACTCTTTTATACATAACTATAATCTTTTCATAGCTAACTAAAAGCGCGTTTAAACAATTATCAGTGAACATATCCTGATCATGCCTAAAAAATTCTAGTGCGACTAGCTTTCTACTCTCTCTCACGTTATTTTACTAGATTTCTTTTGTCCAATGAATATGAAAAAGTTGTTAATCGCGAATATATTCCGAATTAGAATAAATTAATTTAGTGACGATTGTTCTTTCCTGTCATCCGGACGTGTCATATCTTTTCCTCTGATCTGTCCAAAAGCCGTTAATATGTAGCATCGTAAAAAATCCATTGTCAAATCCAACAAATTGATACCAGGCTATATTGCTGTGCTTTATAGGAATCTTATTATATTGGTATATTACCCTATGTATTAACTAAATGTTCCAGTATCCTGTCATACATTTGCCCGTCTTAGTTTTATAAATATTTTTATAAATGTTTGTACTGTATAGTTTGATATATATTTTAATGTTCAAGAATAAAATGACTCTAATACACAATAAAAATCACTTTAGACTTGTTTATACATATGGAATCTCAAATATTTTAAATATGATAGTTCTTAGTACTGATATTATGAATTTTGTAAAGTACAATGTTGCTCATGTTAAATTATAAGTTAAATTTCTAAGTGTACGTCAGAATGTTAGTCAGTTCTTTTGAATTGATATGGATGTGAATATACAGTAAACGCTATAATAAATATTTTTCTTGATAATATGTGTTTTTTTTTAAATAAATATTTACCTTTGGTGGAACTAATACCTCGTTTTATGAATATGTTTCAAACTTGTGTAACTGACAGTGTTATGAACATTCAAACAAGTGATTGTATGAATTAATTCAGTACAAATATACTCAGTGACACTAGAAGTGTTACAACTATATTATAATTATGTGTTATAATTTCTTATAACTCAATTTTTTGGCAACATGGTAGATTTACATCAGTAAATAGTAGCTGAGTACACTCCTGTATACGTCTAGGCATTGACAAAATGAGATCATCGATGTCTGCTTGTGGGACCTCGTTCCAAGCAACTTGAACTTCATGTATTAACTGTGGAACTGCCACAGTCTGTGGAGGATGGTACAAAGTGGACAGTCTCCTTCCCATCATATCCCATTAGTGGTGTGCGAACCTGCGATTTTTGTGTAGCTGTGACAAGATGTGACTGCTCCAGTTTTGTCATGGTGACAAAACGCAGTGATTTTTTGGAGCAGATTAATCTTAATCCCCCAAAAAAAAATTTAAGCTAGGGTATTCCCAGAATCAAAACTTATTTAAAATAATTATTAAATAATACCTTTTCTTTCATAGTTCTTATTCGCTCGCTCATAAAGAAAGCAGTACTTTACATGCCACTTTTTACATGCTAGATAGAGTTTTGAAATTGGAGGAAGAAGTTCGCCCTAATATGGCATTATTAACTGTAAACAATTTTCCCATTATATCAATTAAAGAATGGCAACTACTTCAACAATTAATAATGTGCTTAAATCCAATGGAAGAAGTGACTAAAATAATAAGCGGAGAAAAATATGTGACTTTATCTTCAGTGATAATTTTGACAAAAGAACTTAAAAATATTTGTATTTAAATAGAAAATGAAGATATATTGCCTTTAATTCAAAATATGATCGGGCAGGTTTTAAAAGGTATTTCGGATCGCCTGGGAGACTTGGAAAACTCGCAAACTTTGCTAGTGTCTAGTTTTATTCATCCTAGATTAAAAAATGTGTCATTCATTGTAAAAGTGGTGTAACTCCATCAAATTGAATTTGTAGATATTTTGACATTTGCAAATTGATGTACAGGAAAAAAAATAAAAGTCGTTATTGAGTTATTTACATTATTTATTGTTCACTACAAGACCAAGTTTCTAATCATAAGTATAAAACGAAAAAAAATTAATTAAATTCTGTGATAAAAATAGGAAAAAAAAATTTTTTTGGAGTTACTTCACCGTTATTGTGAGCTAATCGTACATAATTTCATCATCAGATGAACGTTCACTAGAATTA